GGGACACGGGGGGTAAGCAGCAGAGCCCCCCCACCCCCCAGGAAGCCCTGGCACTGCTGAAATGGGGTCGGCGAAGGGGAAAAAAAAAAACAACGGAACTAAACAAGCCCCCTAGCCCGAGGATGCTTCAGCCTGGAGCGATGCACACTGAGAGCAGGGGTTCCGCTCTGGGGAAGCTGGGGAAACCCAAGTGCCCTTTGTTTAGAGGCTTGAGACCAGAATCTGTGGATGAACCAAGAGCATTCAGGTGGTCTCTGGCCCAGGATCAGCTCTGGGCAGCAGAACAGATGGGCTCCCTTCAGCATGGGATCGAGGATCTAGAAAAGCCCTCCCTGAGAGAAGCAGACTGGGCACACAGAAGGGCATTTGGGGGGGTTGCTTTTGTGCCACTGACTGGTCTCACGCCGGGGGACGCTGGCTGGGGGCGGCGGGGAGCAGAGCTGCTCCGGGCGGCAGGAACAGCGGGGCAGTACCTGGCTGTAGGCAGGATTCACTGGAGCACCTGCACAGCATGGGGTAAAGAACACACACTGACAGTTTTGTTAAGGTAACAAAATGGAAAAAACAACATTAACCAAACCCTCTCTGCCAGCCGTGGGCAGTACAGAAAGTAGCAAAGTCAGTGGAGAAACACAGCGATACCCTTACATTGATTTGTTCCACTTAAACATAGTATTTATTTATAATAAAGTAGTTATGGGCATTTTCTTTCGATCCAGAAGGATTCATTATGTACTGAATGCTTTACATCATGTTATGAACTAACCCATTGATAAATTAGGGCTAAATTTTATTTGCAAAAGGCATCTATGGCAGGGATTCAGCGTTGACTCACAACAATTGCTCACAGTGCTGACTTGCCATTGTTCAATATTCAGAGCTGCTCAGTCTTCCCAGCATCCTGCTGTGTGGGTAGAAGTTACATCAGGATCACAAGTTTTATCTCACACAGAGATAAGAGGCAGCATGTCCAAAACAGCCCCTAATTTTAGGAGCTCAAACTGAGACAAGATGGTCCTGAGTTTCTGGCAACAGGAGTGTTACAGCCAGATCGAAATATCTCACACTCAACATGCAAACCAAGAGTCACCATCAGGATCTTCCATGACAAAAGTTCTAAGGCAATTGCTAACTATTCTAATAATGTTTATCCTAAGTCACATGTAGCCTTAGAGCAAGGAAGTGTCCAGAACGGGAGCAGAGGGCCAGAAATCCCTGTGTCCCGGTCCTCTCAATCCACCAGGTTATCCTGCTTTCTACCCCCTTCATCACTCTTGGGCATTGATTTGGCAGAGTTGTTTGGCTACACTGTTCTTCGTGTGCCGCTCTCCGTACGAGAAACGCTACGTTACCTCCTGTGCCTCCGGTCCAATGGTCCACTGGGCAGCTCTCCTCACAGGGGAAATCTAAAGCTGGGATGCCAGCTGGGGAAAAGTTGTATGAAATCTCTCAGTACATGTGAAAAATGGCAGAAAAATCTTTGGTTTAAAGGCAAAAATTGCAGAAAATTGGGGATTTTTTCTTCACGTTTGTGGCAAACATGCCTCCACCCCCAACCCCACTCGGTCAGTCTGCAGGACTGGTGGGACAGACCTGCAGTCAGGAGAACAAAGTATCCTCTTCAAATATTTAGGTCCTTTGTGAAATAATGTCAAAGATACCGAGAGAAATAATCATGAGGCTCCTGATGTTCATCTGGTCTCCTGTAAGAACTAGTCTATCAATTTTTGCAGAGGCAAACATACTGAAAGGCATCATCACACCATGCCAAGCAGCAGCAGGGCACCAAGCAGCAGTGACAGTGGCTCTGCCTTTTCTGGCCAAGTCAAGTGCTGGCCTGTCAACTACTGCATCAGCCATATCTCCTGTAGTACAACTACTAATTTCCTGTTTTAAGTGGAAAGTAGCATTGATCAAACATGCGAGACCAACATCAGAGCATGTGTGTTGGGGGAGTCCCCTGCTCACAGCTCAGAAGCAGCCTGCCTGGACCAGTCTGGCTATTCTCCATCGGGAAGCCCCCCTGACAGCCCACCGCCCTACCTGGCTGCTGGTTCTGCAACTCGTGCCCAGGCACAGCTTAAACAACATCACCCTGTAAAACATCAACTGGCCCCAAAAGCACCCACAGAGCAAAAACTGCTCACTATGGGGTCAGGAGTCCTGCAGGATGCTGTTAATATTAACATATGCTTTTAAAAAACTATCTTTTAAAATATTTTTTTTCTTTTTTTAATGGAAGTATGAACAAGTGCCTTGAACAATCTACCAGTTTGCAGTATTTGTGAATACAAATGGAATACCTGTATTAATTTTACTCTTATGACAAAAAATTTTGCAGGAGTGGCAAGGAAGGCAAGTTATTCTCAGCATAACAATGAACCCAAACCAGATAATTAAAAAACTTACCATCCAAATGATTATAAAATGGGTCAATGTTAAAGGTCTGAAACTTTAAGCATCTTTACTTATTTAACATTTCAAAATTTAGTCACAGCCATGTCACTCCAAGGCATCTCCTGATTTCAATTAAATGTCTGAATAAATGGCTTTGCAAGCATTAAGAAAAATCACCCTAGTCATCATATGCCAAGTTTCAGATTAAAAGAATTTTTCAATAAGAAATCTCCTCCAGCTATAGGCTCTTCAGTCTGAGGCTTAGAGGACAAGCACTGACAATAAACTTAACGTTTCTCACTAACACAGCTTAAAAAAATGTGTCTCTTGCCTTGCAGTGAAGTGACATGCTGCTTAGAAAAACATCTTGCTCAAATCTGTTTTTTCTATTATTAAGCAAGCAGCCTTCTGTTTAAAACTGCCACCTTACTGACTTTATTAAAGCCACCTGATATTTTATTAGTCTTCCATCCCTAGCATATAATTAAGTTGAATCCCAGGAACAATTTATTTGACTGATCTTTCATTAAGCATAGCAGCACAATAGCACTTTTCAAGTAATGGTTCAGTAGAAACTTTATAAACCTTTATTAGAGAAACTGTCCACTACCTTGCCACTTTTCACCTTTCAAAAAAGTACCACTTTATGTAGAAAATAAGTATTAAAGAGAGAGCACAAGATAACTGCCTTAATATATTCTGAGCCAACCAAAATGTGTTTGCCATTTACTGAGCTGCATCTATTTCAGAGGTCTGCCTGGTGTATTAATAGTCCCTCACTGTATCAGGCTGGAAGAAAATGTGAATTTTAGAGTCCTTAAATCATTCTGCTTTTCCACTGCAGTTCCAATAAGGGCTTGTACTAGATAGCATGCTGTAAAAATGAGCAGAACTCAGCCAAAACCAGGACACTCAGTAATGTGCTGAAAGTATACTTTTATTTTTCCTTCCTATGCCATACTGATCAGCTGGGTAGAAAGCAAGAGACAGGCTGGGCTAAAAAAAAATTTAAAAAAACATAATCACTCTTAAATGAACGGACCACAAATGCAGAGGATGCACTGATGGCTTTTGCTATTCCTTGTATAGTCTACTTCTAATTACCCCCATAATTGCATAAGGCAAAGCAATTGCCTGTAGCCAAAGGTAGAGAATCAATCTAGTAGTTTCCATGGAAAGTGAGAAATTCAGGAATTTCTGAACTGAGATGAATTTCCTGCCACTCCTGGGTGTGCATGCCACACCAGCGGGGGTAACATCTCTATCCCTACTACAGCTATCATGGATCGAGTCTTCTGCTCCTTTTTTCTTCTTTGAAACAAAACTGATGGTTAGGCAGCAGCAGGAATCCATGGGCCACCTAGGAAGGTAAGTGGAAACCTATTCCATTATGTATTTCAAAAATAACAAGTGAAAATTTTCTCCTAATAGTAAGAATTATCCTAGATTAGTCTCCCTTCTGGAAACTGGTGAACTCCAGGTATCTCAGTTATCTCTCTTTTATAAACTCTAGTCTATAAAAGGCCAATACTTGGCACCCTTTGGTCAGTATTTTAAAAAAATAAAGTATCCGCATTTCAAAAAGCATGCACAGACCAGATGTACAACGGATTTGACCTGAACCACTATGTTCAGTTAACCACAAGTAGCAGGACTGCTGTAAGCCAGAGCCAGTATGCCTGGCAACATTTGGTTGTCTGCTGTGGCACCAAAACCTCCTAACAGGTTACACGTGAAAAAGTGGGGAGGGATGGTGAGAAAGGGAAGGAAAAAGGTGGCTTGGAGACAGCACCCCAAATACCCATTCTGTATTTTTATGTCATAGGGTAAGCAGAGAGCATACCAGAGACCACAAAATTACCAGAACTGTTGTACAGTTTATACTTTTTATGATTTAGAGGGAGTTTTTCTATAGAGGTATCCACAATTTAACTGGAAACATGTTAGGGGTTCCACAAATCAAATTACTTTGGAAAACTCCAGACTGAGTACTTTGCATCACTTCTGGAAAGGCTGTGACCAGCAGGGAGGGCATTTGAGTCGGTGGGAAAGCACTAGTGAAAAGAAGGGGATACAAGCCTAAAAACCAAGAAAGCCTGGGAAGTGGGAAGGGCCCTATTCCCCCCCCTTTACATATGAATGCAAGTGTTAAAATACAGATTAGTAACAAAAGCAGGAGAACGGGAATGTAGGGCAGATGCTGGTTTAAGAAGATAAAAAGCCTAGGACTAGATGTCATAGTTGTGGGAGTAGGTGGGTGGGAGGTCTCAGTCCCACAGAGTTTAGCTGCATCCTTCCCCAGTTCCCAGAGTTCTATAGGGAGACCCCCAAGTACAAGAGAAGACATAATCTGAGCTCTGGCTTTCTTTTGTCCACCTCATTTCTAGTTCTGCATTCAAGAACTGGACTTTTTGCTCTACCTGTACCAACCCTGTAATATTCTGCTTGTCTGATGTTGAAAGAGGTCAACTGATGCAGAAAAGCCTAGGGCATGCATCTTCTGGGGAAGCAACAAACTGAACCAAAGCTCTCTTGCCAGGGACCTGCAAACCAGAAGGGAAGGGATTTGGGAGGCTGGCTGATACTCCCTCACCATAAGGACTAATATCATGATGTCATCAGACCTGGCAAAAACCTGACAGGTGCAGGCAAGTGCTCCCTCATCATGAGCTCTGCCAAAGCAGTGTTTGAACCAACAGGCTCATCACATGAAGTTACCTGGTGTAGATGCAGCATAGTATCAGTCTTAGATGTGGGGAGTGAAGCACCACTGACTCCAGTTTCTATAGTGTCCAAAAATTGCCTTCAATTACAGTTCTGAGCGCAACACATATTTTAGTCAGATGCAGAAAAGCTGGGTAGTTTCAAGAGGTGCCTATTAGCTTACACCAGAAGCTCCCAGTTTTCACCAGTCCATGCCCATCCATCATGCTAAGAATGAGGGAGCACACTCAGGCTGAATAAAACACTTTCTGATGAGAGCAGAACACACTGAAGAGAAAGGAACACAACACTGGAGACCAGCACCAGTTCTCCAACACATTTTATACAGGGAAGGAGAAAAGAAAATGTCATCTCTTTCCACAGGTTTCACTGTTGAAGAACTGGTTTTCAAAGCTCAGAGATAATTGCTGTGCTGTTTTGTGACAGCCACATCCTCATTTAGAGGTATCCACAATTTAACTGGAAACATGTTAGGGGATCCATAATTCAAAGTCTGCTGTCTCTTTAATTAGCAGATCTTGATGAACATCTCAGTTTTATGTTACATGCTTAGAAAACTACCATTACCTTGAACTCAAGAGGGATGAAGTGTCCCAGGACACCATAATAATACTAATAATATTTGGGAGATGGACACTTTAATGTTAAGTGACTGTAGGATTGAACAAGAAAGAGCCTGAATCTCTTCTCCGCTCTTTCGCCTCTTCTGTCTTTATTGAAATTTTTGCCTGGCGTCTGGTCATTGTGCAAAATGTTTGCACAGCAGGCAGCTTCCTTCTTGTCCTGGTTCCTTAGACTTGGAGCCTCTCTTTGGTACCTTGCCTTTGAATGCAGTATTGAAAATACACACCAAACAGAGGAGAAAAAACAAGAACAAAGCCACAGCCAGCATGTTAGACAGATATGCAGACAAAAATGTGTTACGAGAACCCAAGCCAAACAACTGCTTGGATATCCTCAGTTTTGCCTTCTTTTTGGGAGGGTGACTCAGTGAACAAACCTTTTGTTCAGACACTGTCACACCCAAACTTACTGCAAATTGGGTCACATGGAAAGAACCTGCCATCGCTCCTAGTGACACAGGGCATCCTATACATACCTGTAACTTACTTAATACCTAACATATTCTCAGAATTGCATGACTGACAAAGAGTTTTCAGCACAAGAGACAGAACTGCTTTTATTTATAGCATCAGCACATGCTATGCAAATTCAAGCAAGCTCGGCGTCAGCAATTGGCAGAAGTCGATCTAGCCTTTGCTATGTAAGTATTCTCTGCTTTGCAGCCCAAATGAAATAAAAGCCAAAGCAAGTAAATTCAACCACACCTAGTAATTGCCATGCTCCTGTTCAGAAGGTCCCAGGGACAAGGGAGCAAAGATGACATCTAAGACCACCTTGATCAA